TTGCTTCAGTTAGCCATATTACACCACCTTCTGCCTTTCCCAATACTGAAAAATCTCACTATCTGCAAAGAAAAGGTTCAGGCATTCAAATCAGTTTCTTTAGTACCACCACACTCATAAAAATGTATCTAACCTAAGGCTAAATTTGTACGATTATTGCGTTTATTTAACAATACTTTAAATGCAGGCAGACGCCACTGTTTTCTACGTGTCTCAAAATCATTAAATAAATACGTTCAAAAGACCTACAAAGAAACACAGACCTTAATACAGGAGCTGAAATCACTGGAGGAGTGGACGCTGCCATTGCAGCTAATGGGAGCTAGCTGGTTAGCTTCTTTGGCTAAACCTAGCTGCCCAGTGTAATTCTGCCCGCGTTGTTTGTTCTCGCCTGCATGTAATTAGAAACATTAGAGAAAATCTTCTCTGCTCATACGAAATATTTCCCAGGTGGAATAATTTGTCAGGTTAGAGGCACAACTAAAAAATGTTTATTGTAAATGTTAGCTACATGCGGAGTTGTTTTGCCTTCTTTATCTTCTTCTTTGTGGATTTCCGGCAGGCAGGACGCAACACAGGCGTATTGCTGCCCTCCTCAGGTACTTCCTAAATGTACATCAAGGATTAAATCCTTACGAGTAGTCCATTTGGGTGCAGAACTTTAGATAAAAGAAAACCTTTAAAACTTCCTAATGATACAAGTCGATTACTGATTTTAGGAGAAAAGGCTTAATGTTCATAATATTTGTCTCAATAAAATAGCTGGAGCAGTCCATCAAAACATGCTTAACAGTTTCCATTTCTTCACATGTGCAATTTCCACAATCTGACCTCCTCCACCCACTGCAGCACCCATACCATAGCTATAAATTCTGCCTTGTGCACAGAAAACCCATCGGTCAGTTATCTAAGCTTAACTGTGCTACACATCTATTACCAACTGAGTCTTCATCTCTCCTCTACCACCTTAGAAAAAGCTAAATTAGCTTTTGCTCTTTTGTTTTCCTACAAAAAAAGTCTGTCTACAACTTTATTAACTATCATCAGGGATCATTTTATAGAGCATCTTGATTAACAAATAACAAAATACAGGCCAAATATAATAACACAGCATGTAGCACACAAGAGGATTATAAAAGACGCAAAGGATGAAATAAAGAGGCGGTGCAATGGCAGTACAAGGGCAGGTTTAGATTTCTATTATTTTTTATTTTCTATTATTTTCCATAACTATTATTTCATTTCAGTGCTATGCTTTTCTTCATCACAATTAATCCCATTAAGATGAAAGCAGGATTGTATGAGGGCTAGAGAGCGCCTAAAAGTGGGATGGTGGTGGTGTCAAATATAACGGATGTAACTGTTTAATGCAGGGAGACAGTGCTTGTGAATTAGAACTAGATGTTAAAAAAAAAAAAAAAAAAAAAAACCCAAATTAAGTAAAAAAAAAAAAAAATAAAAACTAGACCAAAAAATGAAATTAAATGATTTTGTGAACTTGGAAAAGAAAAAAATTAATAGAAAATATCCTTAATTTTAGTATTTGTTAGTTTGTTACAGATTTCATTGCATTAGCTGTAAGGATTTTCCTAAATTTTGCCCCTGGCATACAATAATAATTAAAATGTAATTAAGGAAACTCAGACTAACAAGGAAACTACTAAGACAATTAAAACTAAACTGAATCAAGGGAGCCCACTCTGCAAACTGACTGAAACCACACTGAATAAAAAAACAAAAAGTTAAAAGAAATTTAAAAAAATTGCTATTAGCTAATAAATACTGTGAAAGGCACAGACACATTCATTTATTTGCCAAGAAGGCACTGTGCAGAAATCTCAGCAACAAACGACAGTTTTGTTTTTATACCAAACAATGATTATTGTGAGTCATATCAATCTGTTACACAACTCTAACGCACCATTGCCTGCAGTGTAACATTGTGCGTGCCTTATGTGGATGCTGCTGCTTTACACACAGAGATTTTCAATAAAAAGCGGCAGATCAAAAACAGTAGATGGCACAATTTCCATTTTTGTCCATTTCTAGCACCTCATAGCCCCATGAAGTTTACAGGTGGCAGTTTCCTCTCTAAAATAGCAACCGCTAATAACTGCAAACACAGCAGGAATTTGCGAGTTCTTCGGGCCTTTATTTTAGGCATCTTTGGCATCTGTGGCACTCTCTCTTTCCCCCCGACAGTCTGTCATTCATTTTTCTTCTCTGGCGCTGTCCTGAGGAAGAAGGCGGGCTGTGTGCAGCAGCGGTAGCACAGAGCCTGAGGCACCAGCATGTACAGCACATTGACCAGCAAGAAGACAGGCTGGCTGTCCACAGGTACTCTGTATGAAAACGGTGTCCGTGTGTGAAGAGATGCACCGATGTGGGAGAACTGGGCCTGTGAAACGCAGCAGAGAGGGATAATAAGCATGTGCTTCACAGCTGGTATGTTCACCAAGATTCTTATATAACCACTATATGGACAAAGATCTTAAGTCACCTACATATTACATCTGCAGGAGCTTGTTTGACATCCCACTGTGAATTCATAGGGATTACTATGGAGTTGGTCCCTGTTTACAGCTATAGCTTCCACTCTTCTGGCTTTCTACAAGATTTTGAACGGTGCCTGTAGAAATATTTGCCCTTTCACCCAGAAGGGTATTTGCAAGGCCTGACACTGATGTTGGACAAGAGGGGTCGGCTCACAACTTCCATTCTGGTTGATCCCAAAGGTGGTAAATGGGGTTAAGGTCAGGGATGTGTCAAGTCAAGTTCTTCCACTCTACTCATTTGACCAAACCTTCATGGGCCTTGCTTTATGGCATGGTGCACAGAGATGCTGGGAACGAAAAAGGCCCTTCCCTAAACTGTTAATAGTCAAAAATGTCTTTGTAACCTGAAGCTTTAAGAGTCCCCTCCACTGAAACTAAAGTGTACAGGCCAGAAACACAAGCCCCAAAGCATTATCTATCTAGGAGGGAAGAAATTTCAGACACTGACTTGCTGCACTCAAATTCAGTGAGCTGTTTAGAAGGACCCATTCTTGCACAAATGTTTATAAAGGGTGGCTGCACAGCTCAATACTGAACGAAACACCTGAAATCAGTCACTAAAAGGTGCTGCCCAATACTTTTGTCCATACCGTGTATCTTGGTCTTAAATATCTCTTACATTTTTAACAATATTATGAGCTCATGATGTAAAAAAATGATAGAATCAATTCAATTTTCTACCCCCCCTTTTTTTTTGTTGTAATTTAACAACCAAAGCGCTGGAAGAATTATGAATTTTAGAAAACAAGATAGAATTAGATGTCAGCACCAGGGTTAATATAGTTAACTAAAACCAAACTAAAAGCAGAAAAATGTTAGTTAACAGAAATAAAAACTAAATAAAAAAAAAATGAAAATGGTTTGGGAAAGTGGAAAAACAAAAAAAAAAAAAAAAAAAAAAAACAAAAAAAACCCAAACGAAAACAAAACGAAATAAAAAAAAAACAAAAAAAAAAAAAAAAAAAAAAAAAAAAACTAAAATAACTAAGATTTTTAGTTGTTGTTTTGTCCCACAGAATCTCAGTGGTCTGGGATAGTGAGAAATTTGGGCACATTATTGTCTTATTATCATGTATTAGTAAATTAAACATCAGTTCAAAGTCATAAATCTTATAGGAAATCCTGCGATGCTAAAGCCCACATTTTCTTGCTGGAAGCAATGATCTATCTACAATAAGAGCAAGAAGGGATTACACAGGAAACCCATTTGAAGCATACAAAAACAAAGTAACAGCTGTTTTGGAGTGAATTATTCCTTTACTGGACTGACGATGCCTGCATTCTGGCACCACCACGGATCCTCAGATGATTTTCAATCTAATACACTTCTATCATTTACCTTTTCGTAGAAAGCTGCTGACACATGACATGTTTCATAGCAACCAAGGCTGCCAGAGGATCAACCTTCCTATTTATATCCTGGCTGAACAGCTGACATTTAAGTGAATACCACCAATACCACCATTCCTCTTGGTCTGAAGTCAGCTTCTGCCCTTATCCTGCCGATGAGTGACGCGCCAGCCTGCAGCTCAAACACAATGGCTGCATTGTGCAGTGGAGATGTGATCAGTGCAATAGCCGCTCCCACAACTCTTCACTTTCCATCTTTAGATGTAAATAGAGCCACTGGAGTCTGTCAGCTCTGAAGAGTACGCTAAACAAAGACCAACTTGCAATCACTACAGAGGAAAAAGTTTACCGAACTGGCCAGAAGCCGGCTCTCAGTCTCTGTGTAACATTACATAATCTACCTGGATCTATGATGTCATGTGGGAAAACAAAAGACTGTAAACGACTCTTTCACATGACCTTCATTTTTAAAACCTGACAACCCTTTCATCACTTACACATTTGGTTTCCAGATATTCCAGATAAGTAAGAGACGTTAGGTGTCTAATGTAAATCATACCTGGGGCCCCTCACTGTATACAGAGATCAACAGTACCTGTGCCAATGCTCCCGAGTGTACAAGAGTCAGGTCTGGCATCCAGTCACATCCTGGGACCAACAGCCCATACAGAGTAATGATGTAGTAGGGCCCAGAATACAGCATGCTCACCAGCATCTGTCAAACAGTAACACAGTTTACTTTTTTAGATATGTGGCTTAACATTACAGCATTAGAGTGACGTTTTTGGAGTGTTTACTGTCACCGTGTTACCTGTACTTTAGGGTAGGCTGAAGGGTCTTTGAGGTATGGCTCATACTGTTGTGTGTAGTCTTGGCACCATTTGCTAGAACAGTCAAGAACAACCTCGAACACATAACATAACAGTTTGATATGTGAGAGACACCCAACGCTAAGAAAGTAATCTAGAGTTGTGTGCGTGCTGGGCAAGCAGATCACCATGAGGTTTCTTACCAGGCCTCTGAACACACAGAAAGCCAGCGCTGGAATGAGGTAGATGATGAATACCAAGTCCACAGGTCTGCAGAGCAAGCCTGCCCTCTGAGCCTTCTCGATGTCCTGAGAACACAACAGCAACACTAACATTTGCAGATGCAAAGTATGGATGTGTTTCCAGCAGATAAGACACTTTAACCTAGGGGTCCCCAATCCCAGTCCACGAGGGCTGGTGTCCCTGCAGGTTTTAGATATCACCCTGGGTCAACACACCTGAATCACATGATTAGTTCATTACCAGGCCTCTGGAGAACTTCAAGACATGTTGAGAAGGTAATTTATCCATTTAAATCAGCTGTGATGGATCCAGGACACATCTAAAACCTGCAGGGACACCTGCCCTCGTGGACTGAGATTGGGGACAGAGGCGGGGTACACCCTGGACAGGTCGCCAGTCTGTTGCAGGGCTAACACACAGGGACAGACACCATTCGCGCTCACATTCACACCTACGGGCAATTTGGATTAACCAATTAACCTATCCCCACAAACGGCATGCCTTTGGACTGTGGGAGGAAGCCGGAGTACCCAGAGGGAGAACATGCAAACTCCACACAGAAAGGCAGAATTGAACTCAGGACCTTCTTGCTGTGCGGCAACAGTTGTAACCACCGTGCCACCGTGCTGCCCTTCAGAAAGAAATGTCACCAATAAATGGGCATCTGTTTAAACTTCAGTTATGTTTAAATATATCTACTATCAAAGACATATTTGCCTAACTTATAATGCACTGTATTGTAATTGTTGTTGACATAACAACATAACAACACTCTGTAGCTCAACTAAAAGCATAATAATAAACATTCCTGTCGTTTTATGTCTTTATCCCTCAGTTCTTTATGTAAAGCGACTTACCAGCTCAACATGTATCAGTCTTTGCTGAAGAAAAAATTCACCTCAAGGATATAAAACAAAACATAGTAATTACATATTACACTTTACCAAGAAAGGCTCTGCCAGTTTTAATTAATACTCATGAGAACGATGGAATATTGTGAATGCAGGAACTCGTGAACACTTTTGATGAATATGTCGTCATTTTGTGTCATTTTGTATGACTCTGAGAAATGTGCCCATACATTATTTTTTTTTGCACTGTTTCTGTGGTGGTAATTACTCATCAGAATAATCTCACAGACACCTGAGACGGACTCACTGATGGATTGGACTAAGGGCAATAAAAGTAGGTGTTTTCTCTGTGAGAGGGGCGGCGGTCAGGTTCTTACTGATAGCTCAACGTCCCGTGCAGAAGGCTGACAAAAGATGCGGAAGCAAGCCCACACCGACACTGAGATGTACAACAAATGGAGGATGAAGAGAGGGCCAACGTGAGTCCCATACTTTCCTGGGGAAAAATGAGGGAAAAACTAGATCAGAAATGATCTAGTTTAAATCCCTGTAAGCAAATGGGATATAAAAGTTTGTGTGTGTGTGTGTGTGTGTTAGTTTGTGTGGTTGGGGGGGGGTTACCCTACACAGGCCATCTAAAAGCATCCCATTATTTTTAGTGTACTTACCCACAGCATTCCCAAGAATGTAGACCATTGCACGCATGAGAAAAGATCCCACCCAGTAGAGTCCAATAGCTCTGTAATTGTCCCTGCCCAAACCATGTAACAAAGCCAGATGATCATATTGTAGTTTCAAAGAATTAGGTATATAAATACATTATCAAGATTATCTTATCAAACAATATAATATGGATGGGATTAAGTGGCAGATATTTTCCTTACTTAGTGATGCAGCTGTGGTGAATAACATTGGAAACAAGACAGCTCTTACCCCCAAGTTATTGCAGCAATCATGAGCAGATACATGAGATAGTGCACGCAGCCATCCCAGTAGGATATCATGTGCCCATGTGCTGTGTTGACATGTGGATCTGCCTGAAACACGATGTAGATTTATCAGTAAAACTGTGACGAAGTGGGGGCATTCATAATCTGGACACAATAGAGCAACACTTGCCTCTTTGAGGTAAAATGTCACAAATCCATCAATGATGTTGTCTTGCTCCAGTCCAATGATCAGATTCACCACACTGAGGAATGCATGCACTGCATACACTTCACAGATGTATATTTGATATATTAATTTCTAATTAAAGACAGGACAACTTGCAAACATTACGTGCTGCTTTGAATATCACTGCTTTTTAAATACTGCAACAGGTTTTTATAGGTACAATATGCAGAAAGTCCTAGCTCGAGCTTTGATCTGTAATGAACACTAACCTCGCTCGCTGTTGGTCAAAGCAAGAAACGTGCATTTGAGAAATCCTACCATAAAAAAGTGGATCTACTGGAGTCTTCTTTTTAAGCATAAAACGAGCTGAAATGGCCAGAATAAGAACTGTTGTGCACCAAGCGAAGAAGAAAGCTTCAGCACTGCATGGGGGAAAAAAACAGATAAATGATTCTCAGAGTAGTTACTCCTCGCTGCTGATGGTGGAAGTCGGAAGTCCAACAGTTAATATGTGAACCAGTTTCCACGTACCTGTTGCTGTAAATGAGAGAATTGAATAAATAGCAGATGGGGATAGACATCAGGGAGAGCAGGAACACTCCCGTTCCCGCAGACGCGCTCATTGCGCACCGACTATGAGCGATTTGTCTGAGCGAGAACTTAAAATTTCAAATTAAATGAATCAGCCCCAGAAAATGTTCATGCTTAGCTTGCGAGTTACATTTCACAGGATGGGAGAAAAGTCAGAGTTTTGCCGGAAAAAAATGAAACTTTGAGCTCGGCTCCCGCATGCATGCTCAATCTTGTCTGGTCTGTCGGCCTGCTCTCCCCTCCTCTCTCTCTTTCAGTTTACCTACACATGCACTACACCCAAACGAGCTTCAGCTTTCAGATGGTGGGGGCGGGCCCTCACCTGGAAAAAAAACGTCAAAAAAACGACTTTCTGCAGAACTTAATGTCGTAAATTAACAATTCTCGTGCCTTTCTCTTCTTCTTCTTCTTGAAACATTTTTTACTCTCTTTTTATCTCTGATTTGATGGAAGTGGCGATTTTTTTTTATTCATTAATATTATTCTATACATCCAAATACTAAGCTGGAGGGAATAGTAAAATAATACATATAGGGGCTGTGCAAATGAATTTATATGATAGTCCATGAAAAATACAAAAAAATTACAAAACAACAAAATAGGACAGGGACGCCACAACTTTATATTCGTCCTAAATGAGAAATTAAGATGTTTGTTCTCGGGCAGCTTCATTGTGCTTAACAAAAATATATATTTTACCATCTGCGAAAAAAAAACGGTTTTGCTTGTTTGTTTGTTTTTAACGAAGAGACACTGACACCCAGCGGTCAACTGGAAAACTTCAAGCAAGGATGAGGAGGTTTATAATAGGAGAATAAAGAAAAGTGGATAAAACAAAAAACAGCACAAAATACTAAAACATACATTTGGTGTGTAAATTACTTTTGTTCTGAGACTAAATTTGAACCCAGTTGTTGAAATCAATTATCCAAAGATATTATTGTCAAATATACGATTTGAAATAAGTTATAAATCCACCATTTTGTTTTGCAGCGTCTCTTGTGATTTTTAAACCAATTTATTAAACATTGACATATTTTAAAGAAGAATCTAACAGTCCTGTTACTGAAACCTATTCGACCTGACAAAAGAATAGACAAGCAGTGAGACCATGAGACAACATGACAAAGATGAAGTGGCACTTTCATCCTTGTGTTGATAGCTACCACTGGTCGACAAAACGTCAGTCTTCTTTGACATATTTAGCATTTTCTAATCTTTTCTCACTGGATTAAGTGTTTCACTAGCCAAAAGAAGACAATTAAATTTCAGCGTTTTATTTCTTTATTAGTACACCTGCATTTATTAATTCACAGTCTATTGCAATTCACAGCTGAATCTTTTTTCTAAGAAAACACTAATCGTAGCACCGATTTGTAACACTGTTACCATGCATATAGAACAAGTATTACAAACATGTGTTAAAAGCATATAAAATATTATTAATCAGTATTTTGGTGGTCCTGAGTATTTATTTATGTCATTTATGTCATGAGCTACAAATAAAAGTAAGATACCCCTTCAACCATATTACTCCAATTTCAACCCTTCTGCCATAACATTTTTAATAAAGTAAGCATAAATGATTCTCTTAGTTCACAGAGGGTTGATCTATATGCTTTGTAATTGTTTGAATTACTATAGTGAATAGGGTATTCAAGCCAATATTTGCCAATAAATACTGAATGAGTATTCAGTATGAGAGACAATTTTTAACTTTATGGTTAATAATTAAAATAGGTTTTTAAAAATTATAGCACACAGCAGCTAATATCTGATAAAAAGTTTACAATTGATGCCTGACCTTTATAAATCAGTTTTTGATGGCTTATTATTTGTTTTTATAAATTACACATGTATTTATTTATTTGTTTACATTTTTAAGTTTGAATTAAGGCGCCAATTGTGTAATGATCAAAAAATATTTTTAAAAAATTAAAAAATAGAGTGTAGTGCCTCTTGCTCACACGTCCGTCCACGTTTGAATGTATAAACGCTGCTTTTAATAAGAATTTTATTATTTTAATTCTATTCTATTTAACATATTTGCCGATTGTATTGTGCCCAAAACGGTCACATAGATAAAAAGAAAAAAAATCTGTATGTTAAGACACTGTTCAAGTTTTTTTTTTTCATCTAGAAGTGAACAATAAAGTTTCAGGACAAAATGTATTTTGGAGGAAGTATACTCACGCTACTTCCGGAGACTCTGTAGCTAGCAGGTAGCTAGTGATGAGTGATGGCGTCTGCTGCGATGGATACCACGTAAATGAATAACAACAAAAACATTACGGCGAGTGCGTGTCTGCGTGCAAATAACGAGGCCGTTTCTGTAGAAGTACGCTTAAAAACAGTGTGTCGTTATGGCGACCGGGAGCAGTGGTGGCGGATTGCCGTCAAACCATGACGGTCAGGAGGCAGCATCCAACTCGGCTCATTGCGGAGCACCAGCAGCGCTCTCCAACGTCCCAGCCTCCGCTCCTACCCCGTCCGGCTCCCCGCCCGTCCTCGGCCTTCACCGGGAGCCCATGTACAACTGGCAGGCGACGAAGAGGTCCCTAAAGGAGCGCTTCGCCTTCCTCTTCAACAACGAGCTTCTCAGCGACGTCAGGTTCATAGTCGGGAAAGGAAGACAGGCCCAGAGGATACCGGCCCATAAGTTCGTCCTGGCCGCTGGCAGTGCCGTTTTTGATGCCATGTTTAACGGTGGGATGGCCACGACCTCTGCTGAAATCGAGCTGCCTGATGTGGAGCCGGCCGCCTTCCTCGCGCTGCTCAGGTAGGACAGGTGAACCCCAAGCCCTGCCTGCATTCGAGACCACCTAGTACCACACTATTTCCGGGTGGTAAAAACCAATATGCATACCTCATGATCCAAGTGTACATAAACATTAAAAACAGCATTTAAAAGTTAATCAAAGTCAAGGCGCTTATGTGGTGATATAAAGTTTACGTTCTGAGCTGTTGTTGATACAAAGAAGGTAACCAATTATAGGCCTAATGAAAAATACGAAACCTCGCTCTAACGTACTGTATTAAAAAACAGTTTATCACTTATTAATTTGACTACCTCATTTTAGAGGTCTCACAGCAAAGTGACCTTCAGACCTTTTCTTTTTAATTAAAGAATTTGAAAGGTAAAAAACTAGAAGGGGTGGGTGGGGGAGGGTATATTGATACAGTACAGTTTCACGATATTGTATCGACGCAGGGACACCAAATATCGATATTTTATTAGATGAATGAAAATAAACAGATAAATAATAAGTACATGAAAACACCCTGTAATATTACTCTACTAAGAAGAGGGCTCATCTCCTGCACCACCATCCTAAATTAGAATTCTGATTCTGATTTAGGATGGTGGTGCAGGAAAAGATAATGCTAGCCAAGCAAACTTACAATACATGGGCTCAACTGAAAAAAAAAAACTATCACCACAAATGATGGACACACTCAGCTGGACAAAGTATATAATTGCCAACTTGACCCCATTCAATCACAGACTGATAGCCCACCCACTCCATCTTATGGCAACATTGATGGATGATTTTAGTGACATTGTTGTTATGCTTGACAATCTCATTTTTTCAACAGAAAAATAACTGAAGCACATAACTTTATGTTATTGGATAAAACAGATACTTTGATGACATATTTAGGTAATAAATAACTGTATATCTTATTGAAATACTCAGCTTATTGCAAAATGGTAAAAATTACAATTATAGCAAATCATGAGGGAAATATTGTGATAGTATCGTATCTCAGGGTGTCTGGTGATTCAAGCTAATAATGAGTAAAGAACTGTTGTGATTATCTAGAGGACCATTTCAGTTTTTGCCAAATGAGTAGTGATGTTTGTATGAACTTGTTCCTGCCATTGGAAATAAAAAATCTCAGGCACAGCGAAATCAAAATTTGGGATTATTATCTCAAAATCAAACCCTTCAGTTATTAAGCTAAAAAGCCGGCATCACTGATGGTTAGGGTGTGCCTTGTTTACTATGGAATTTGCAATTTGCACATCTGGAAAGGTACCACCACAGCCGAAAATTATATAGAGGTTTATTTAATAACTCAAAATGTTGCGGCACCTCCAACTTAGCATGGCCTACAAATATTCAGAATTTACGTAGAATAACTATGAAAATGTAATTGTTCCCTTTGTTCTGGTGCCTGTTTCCTCTCTACAGGTTCCTCTATTCTGACGAGGTCCACATTGGTCCCGAGACGGTGATGACGACTCTGTACACGGCTAAGAAGTATGCGGTCCCTGCTCTGGAGGGGCACTGCGTGGAGTTCCTCACCAAACATCTCAGAGCTGACAACGCATTTATGCTTCTCACTCAGGTTACTTTCACTCTCCTCGACTATAGTGCATCCTTTACGTTAAAACTGAGAGATCCAGATGGCCTGGATTGTACTTTCGGTTTGTCAATTTTTTAATGTTGAAATATTCTTTTTAATTCTGCAAGTTAACTTGCTTGGTTTTGAATTATCCTTCCTCGATGGCACTAGATATAGATAGTCAGATTTATGTAGTCTACAAAGAGTCAGATTTCGTTAATGGCGGGCATGAATAGGGTTTTAATATCAGCTGTGTGTATTTTTTAATGCATTTTCCAGGCAATATGTTAAAAAAATCTAATGAAAATCTGGCATTGCTCTTACCATCTGTTCAACAGCAGCTCTTACAGTTAGAGATAAACTGTATTTCTTTTAAGTGTGTGTGTGTGTGTGTGTGTGTGTGTGTGTGTGAGAGTGTGTGTGTGTGTGTGTGTGTGTGTCAGCACCAGACCAACTCCCAGCCATTGCTGGCAGGACTTTTACAACATTAGCTGTTCTATTTTTAGTTTATGCTGCCGTTTGTTTGGGTTCAGCATTCTGTTCAGTGGCTGGCTGCTGTGCCCTCAGGCTGCTACTGAATCTGATTGGGGGGTAGAAAAGGTCTCAGCAGCAACTAGAACAAAACTATAAACAATACTGTAAATCAGCTAAAGCAACCATATTCTGAGCAGTGTTTTCTCTATTAGCAGTGGTGGTTTGGGAGATTTATTCATTAGCATTATGAAGTTCCACCCAACTTAGATTGTTTTAGTGTTTGCATTAAACTTTCAGTTTTGTTTTTGCTTGTTCTAACGTGTTTGGGGTAAATTCGATACCCTCCTTTGGTGCGTTCAAGACACTTACACGGATACTTTTGTGGTCTCGTTACAGGCCAGGTTATTTGATGAGCCTCAGCTCGCCAGTCTCTGCTTAGACACCATCGACAAAAGCACAGCAGATGCAATAAATGCAGAGGGATTTACAGATATTGACCTTGGTATGTGAGCGTTTATGATCAGGTGTTTTCTTGTCCACGGTTTGCATGCGAGTTGTTAAATATTAAGACTTTTGTGTATTTGCATGTGTAGACACTCTTTGCGCGGTGCTTGAAAGAGACACACTAAGCATCAGGGAGAACCGTCTGTTTGGAGCGGTGGTCCGCTGGGCGGAGGCTGAGTGTTACAGGCAACAGCTTCCTCTGACCGCGGAGAACAAACAGAAGGTTCTGGGGAAAGCCCTCCCGCTCATCCGCTTCCCGCTCATGACTGTTGAGGAGTTTGCTGCCGGTAAGTGAATCACAGAAATATGAGTTTATTTGCAATGCTGTGATGTTTGCAACACTCTTCTTACCAGTTCAGCCATCACTAAGCATATCCATCATGTTCCTCATGTACAACTCAAACCACAGAAACCAGTTTGATATTCTTTCTTGTGCAACAGGGCCTGCCCAGTCTGGAATATTGTTCGATCGGGAGGTGGTAAATCTGTTTTTACACTTTACAGTAAACCCCAAACCGCGGGTCGACTACATCGACAGGCCTCGCTGCTGCCTCAGGGGGGAGGAGTGCAGCATTAATAGATTCCAGCAGGTTGAGAGTCGATGGGGGTACAGTGGTACCAGTGACAGGATCAGGTGAGCGGAGGCTTGATGGTTGTTTTTTTTGTTTTTTAATTATTAACACTTGATTTTTTTCTCATTTTCTTTCCATCTCTTTCTCTCTCTGCAGATTCAATGTTAACAGAAGAATATCCATAGTGGGCTTTGGCTTGTATGGTTCCATACATGGACCCACTGACTATCAGGTCAACATACAGGTAACTTCTGGCACGGAGACATAATGAGGTTCAAGAAAAAATACTTACACTGCTGATGAGTGGGTTTATAACTTTTTAGTAGAACTCAGTGTCATTTCATTTTTATATTATTGCCAGCAAGTAAAAAACAAAACATCAACTTTGAAAAACAACTTTTCTAAAATACAGAGTTGTGGTAACACAAGCATCAATCCTCACTTTAATATATCTTAGCTTTAAACTATAAATTAAGGGCTCAGTGTGTAAAATCCCCCCAAATTATTCCTCAAGGCTTTAACTAAACTGCAGCCAGGTTTCTGTAGCTCGCATGAGCATACAGCATATGCTCAAACTAAGAGCTAGCATTGGCCAAAATAATGATGAGATATACATAAGACTGTCGTGCAGCTTTGTATACTGTGTGTCATGTCCAAAGAAATTGGGATGGAGAGTGAAATGTAAACAAAAACAGAATACAGTGCAAATCTCATAAACATGTAATTTATTCACAGAAAAACAGAGAAAAATGTCACATGTTTAAAATAAGAACTTTTTTACCACTGAATGAAAAACATCAGCTCCTTCTGAATTTGATGGCAGCAACACCTGTCAAAAGATTGGGACAAGGGAAACAAAAGAATGGAAAAATAAGCGCTACTGAGTTCAGTAACAGCAGAGACAGAGTTTCACTGTTTTGCAAAAAACTGCAAATCTACAAATTGTGGGACAATTTCAGAATAATGTTCTTCAGTGTAAAAGCAAGCGAGACACCAGTGTATAATCTGTATGCCTCAGTTCCTTATACCAGTATAATACTTATAGTGAGCTAACTGAACCCTGACATTACCCTTGGGTATTCCTGTTATTTATTACTGTTATTTATGCATCAAAGCTTTTATTCTATAATTACAGGCTAAAGTCAGCATCGTTTTATATAATACACACATAATACATTAGTTACTGTTATTAATCCTCTTAGCTGTAGAGTCAATCTAGCCAGCTAGTGTTTCTAGTCACATCAGATTTTGCTAGCAGTACCATTAGCAGGAAGGAAAGCATACATTAGAAATTAGTGGACTCCATTTCCAATCTAAAATAGCCAGTATTGCTCAGTGTTGGTGCTGTAGAGGAATGGAAGAAAGAGACAAAGGCAAGGCGTTAAGGAGCGGGCAACTCATCTGAGTCCCTCACATTAAGGTTACTGCACAGGCTGCTTGGAGGTAACCCAGAGCTGGAAAATATCTTATTTTTTAAGTAACGTTACAGTCCGCTCACACATTGGCAATAAAGATAAAAACATTGCTTTTATGAAAAAAGCTGAAATAATGTTAAAAAAATACCGGTAAGTGGGGAAATTAAAAATCTGAACACAGAAACCAGTAGTAATATCCTTTCCAAAATATGCAATAAAGATACCAAAAAAGGGTGTGCTGTCTAGATCTGCTTTATGGTAAACTCACTCTCTTTTATTGTGTAATTTATAATTCCTCTTTATATGACGGGTTTCTCTGTTTCCTGCTTGAACACAAGCTTTAAGATAAAACATGTGCGATTGCTAAAAGCGAGTGTTCAGTAGCTGACCTTTTATCTCTGTCACACACCAAGCCCTGACACGTGTTTGCCTTTCAGTTATTTTACTAAAAATGTGCCATCAAATGCCAACTGACTTGTTCAGTTCCCTGTATTTGTTAAAAAGTCTAACAGAAGCTTCTGCACACCAGTGAACAGCCCAGGTTCTTACAGTGTTTGGTAGATGTTCTGATTACAATCTGTGATGTAAAGGTCCAATATTTGCATCATCCCTGCATTTCAAATTATAGCCTGGGGTCCTTTATGCGTGTGATCCCTCCTATCACTGCTGCTCATCTAAACTAAACTAAAACCCCAGTCACACAGGCGTAAACAATCGACGACTGAATTCAGCAGTTTAGCGGTCACAGGCTGGTCTCTGTGCCTGTTAACTTTAGTCCCCAGTAAGAAGAGACATAGCTGAATATGTGCTGTGTCACAGTTTATTTCAGGGGGCTTCCACATTTGTTACAGCTACAGAAATCCACCAGTAAACAGATGTGACACTGATGCTGCCAGCTGTGTAAGAAGTTGATTTTGTTGTTGTACATTCAGTGAAGACCTTCTCCTGTTCCTCCGTAGATCATAGAGAGCGACAAACGCATCACACTGGGACAGAACGAGACAGGTTTCAGCTGCGATGGCACAGCAAACACGTTCCGAGTGATGTTCAAAGAGCCCGTGGAAATCCTACCCAACGTCAGCTACACTGCGTGCGCCACCTTAAAGGTCAGCCTGAGGGTGCTGTATTTGAAAACTGAATTGAAGGAATGATTGAAAATGAGCTTAATTTAACGTCTGTCTTTTTCATTTTATAACTCAGGGCCCCGACTCGCATTACGGCACTAAAGGGTTAAAGAAAGTGACCCAGGAATTGGCATCGGGGGCCAAGACAACATTTTTCTTTTTTAGTTCACCTGGAAATAACAACGGCACATCCGTGGAGGACGGGCAGATACCAGAAATCATCTACTACAGCTGAACTCGCTGCAGTGTCATTCAGGTACACTGAAACAAGGAGACCTCGGACTGCTGGGAAGACTGGACTGTTCTTAGTGCCTCATGAGCCTATGGAATAACGAATGTGAGTGTGTGTGTGTATGTGTGCTGTATGTGTGTATTTGTCTATACGATGTTGGTGTACAGGCATGATCAGCAATGTGGAAACAGCCTGAGTTGTGGAAAAATCACAGCTCTGTTGTCAAAAAAAAGAAGAAAAAAAGCTTTTCGGGGGACAAAGTGTATCATCGGCTATGAATGATCTAAATACAGACACATCCTGGAGACAGGCCTGAGAGCTGTCTGTCTGTTAACATGTGAATCTGAGCTGCACGTCAGACTGCAGATGGTTACAATCTGTTTTGCTGATGCATTTATCCAAAGTACAATATTTACATTTTTTATTATTTTTTTATTGTGCACTGTTTATCATGTATTCAACATGTGTCTGTTCAAGTACTTTGTTTTGGCATTGTAATCACGCTCCGTGTGTGTATGTTGTGTAACTTTGCCAGTGGTACATGCTGTTATTTATGACTTCATGTTTGCTTAGAGTTAAAATGAAAAAAGAAGAAGGAAAAAAAACCAGCAACAACAAAATAAACGTTCCAGTTTTATGGGGAAATAAATGTTTTGGTTTTTTTAATATGGCTTAAAAAGTGAGATTTTTTTTTTTCCTGTTCCAAACGCTGTGGTAAATATTTATGCACAGTTTATATCATTCCTCTTTGTGTCACTAGGTGATGCCAAATCCACTACATGCATTCAGATACTACAAAACAGATTAGAGGAGGGGGTTGTGAGACGATCAAGGGAAGTAATCGGCATCGTGGTTACAGTGTCGTCCTTAATCCTGACGCACATCTCAATAATGCCCAATTAGTCTTTGCTGGATGTGCTCTGTTCTTACTCTGCCAGTGAAAAGAAGGCTGTCCTCTGAAAGCTGCGTCTACAGCTCAAAAGATGAAGTGCTCTTAAATTGCATAATCTGCACATTCATATGAAACAGGCGGTGCAAACAAGGCCACTTTAGACGGCTGTGAGTGGGCTTTGACGAGGAGAGTGATCCACGAAGGCTGTCAGGTGAGTCACCGGGACCTGAGAGCTTCTGCTGCCTGCCCACTTAGACGGCTCTCATAAGAGAAAGAACCAAGAAAATCAGTTTGAGGCAGCTTTTTTTTTTTCTTTTTTTCACCACCCACGACACAAAACACTCAAGAACCAGGAGGACAAATAGTCCACAGCACTACCAGTCCTCTAATTTTTACCTGTACTTTGTTAAAAAAAAACATTTTAAAGTCTTCAAAGAACTTAATAAAGGCTTCCTGTTACGTCTGCCACAAACAGGCCAACATGGAGTTTATTGGGAATAACTCAGTCACAAGGATGATTTCTTGCACTTATTAGATTACAAATCCATGACAGGGACTTGTGGTTTCTCTGATGTGTGCGCTTGTCTTTCTAGGTGTGTGGGTGGTTAGATGGCAGATGAATGGGCCGTCTTTCACAGAGTGAGCCTGAACACGAACACTGATGACAGGAGAGGGGATTTTTCCCTCTGCTGTTTTTTGACAACAAGTGACACATGACTGTACAGGACTAAATGGTTTATGTGGTGCTGAAGCATGATTATAATCAAGACCCCCACTTTTAGTACTCAGCCTAGAAATGGTTCCTCTAATTAGTGTGGCTGCAAAAATGTTGTGCAGCAAAACTCTCACAGTACCAAAAAATGATACTGACATATGAGCAGGTAGTATTACCTGCATGGGGTTCTTCTGTTGTGAAGGAAGCGAAGTGAAGCAAGGTCTTTACTCTCTTTTCTGGTTTTTAGCATTTTTATAAAAGCACATTTTCGTGTTTGCCAAAGACATGCATCATATGTGTATGATGTGTCTGTGGTTACAGTGTGTATTTGTCATTTACATTATGTACCCAGATGTATTTGTGGTAATGTAACACACCTACGCGCTCCCCTTTTTATCTGAAGACACAAAGCAACAACAGCAAAAATCACATCAGTGTCGAAACTGAATCAGGAAAACCTGAAATATTGTATTTTTCTTTTGGTCAAAAGCTGAGTGTGATAAGTGTTACACCAGGCAATTTTTAGACTACATCAGTTAAGCCAATTTCCCAGACTTCACACAGCTTTCTCTACACACGAAATACAAAAGGTTTTACACACCTTTGTTTTCACATTTGTGGCAATAGTCCCTAGGATCTTTTTGGATTTCCCTACAGGAAATTCAGTTCAGTGATTTGTTTACTCCTATTGCGTCCTGACGATTGTGTTGATTAACTGAAACCACACAAAGTCATTTTTAAGGCTACATTTAGATGCTAATCCTAAAATGTTACCTGGGTCAGTCCAGGTCCCCACTCAGTCACTCATCCTGGATTTTAGCTGTATTGCGTGTGCAGCCTATCCTTGTTTGTCAGTGTACTGCATCTTAGCACCTACATTTATTTAAACATTCTCGACAAACAGGATGACACATCCTCAGTGAAGGTACACTGAATGTACCGTGTTCTGGTACAAGATCCAGCTTTCTGTGTATGTGTGTGTGTGTGTGTGTCCACAACAACACAAAACCCAGACACAAAAGAGAGAGTGTGAGAGTGTGTGTGTTTGTGTTCACCTACTTGTCCAGCTGGTGGGAGTTATGTAATTTGTATTCCAGTGTTGTGAGACAGTTGGATAATTAATTATCATATATGTATATATATATATATGACTGTGTGGTGAGCATCACTGAACTGATCCTGCTAAATTGCGATGCTCTCACTTCATATTCTATTATACTGAACGCAGTGCAAGTTTTAAAGAAGTCTGAATTTGATGGAGAATACATGTCTGTGTGATTAGAGTGACAGTAGAGCGATCAGGCCGTGCACTCCTGATAGAGAGATGCTGAAGAGGAAAGGAGAAAACGAAACGACACACAACAGCCCAATTTATGATTTTTATATAAATCTGTTATAAAAACTAAAATCAACATTTCATTTATTTTGAAATTTACATTATAGGGCGTGTTTTTTTTTTTTAACTTAACAGAAATAGATACAATTTTTTTTGCTATTTGTAATTCAAATACTTTTGGTTATTATCTCAAAATTTAACTTTTTAAAAGTTTTTTTTGCAGAATTTTTTCTCAACAATTAAAGTTTCTAAGTCCCAGACAACCCAAATATTTGCATCATTTAGAGGGTACCTCACAAATATTGGAACTATTAACCCAAATGTTTGACTTATCGATGAAAATGGAAGAAAAAAAAAACTGTCATAGGCATGTGCCTTCACTTGTGGTGCTAAAAAAATCAGTTAGTTCTAACAGTGAGTACTGAAAGTAAAAAATTTACACAAAACTCTCAATTTCACAAATTCATTCTGGCATCCCCACCATTCATGCCTTCATTTCAGACTTGTCGCCTTCATCATAGCATAAGCATGCGTTTGTCAGATTTTTCTTGAAATTTTATGTTAAGTCTTTTCCCTTTGCATATTCAACAGTGGAGGAAAATTAAGAGTGTCACTCATAAGAATAAAGATGGCACCCTTTTATTTACGTAGCTAAAATGATGGAGTGCAGCAGCATGCACAACACCAAGAATCAGAGACTGAAGTAGCAAAATAAAATAAATCCAGATTTATTTATTTATTTATAACTGTGCATTTCTACCATGCGCTTTTAAAATTTTGACTCATTTTATAAGTATTTCATTCACAGTCTATCAGGAAAAGGATAAACAAAGGCAAATTTCTTTCATTTAGCTGTTTGGGCAACTGGTTTCTCTATTCACAGAAAACCTGCACCTTTCCCTCTTGAATGTGACTTTTATTAATATTCAACAAAGCAAATTATCAGCAGTGGTTCGATGTGCTGCTCTGCAGGACGCCGATGGTTGTCATCTTGAAGTGTAATTGCAGCCTAGACGGCAGTAAGCACAGAGCAGGTTGAAGAATGAGGGAAAATTGTTCCCATTTCACACTGAATGAGACGAGAAAAACAGATGGCTCAGATGTTGCATTTTTGATAAACATCAATTACAAACCAGCATCTTTACTGCAATGAAAAGGCTTTCGGTGTAGTTCTGTGTGTCAGCCTGTCCCTCGGCCAATCACTGGTTTGTATGAGGAAGACACAGATGGACTGAGCGGAGCATCTAAGGTATTGGAAGATGGAGCCATCTTTGGTAACAAGAGAAAAGCCATTTCTGTCTGTATTCCCATGAGAGAAGAAATACATTAAATTGTCATGACCTGCATTTTATTTATAACATGGGAATTTACAATTTGGCCTTTCTACTACATATGCTGAATTTGATAATAACAGCGTCAGCTTTTAATTCATGAGAAACCTTTTTGGCCTATGGTTGCTTGCAAAAAGTGGCACCAAAGCTGCTTCTTGTTATGTTTCAGATCCACTACTGAATACATCTCTCACCAGGTTAGTAAAGGATCAGGTCTGAATGCTTCTTCCACCAAGTATTCCTAGAGCTGTCTATGTGTGCCACTAGAGTACCACCTGATATAATCAGACTAACAAGCGCTCCTCTGCACCACAGTCCACCGTCTTCACATGGATGACCTGGGCAGCTGCATGATTAAGTTACAGAGTGTGCATTCGGATGAGCAAAGCACTGGGGTGCATTCAAACCTCACTTTGTGCGACCTATTCTTAATTGTTAATTAAGTGCATATATGATCACGTGGCTTCTAGCTGCACGTGTGCTCGTGCACACAAGGTGCACTTGTGCACAGTGTTGTTTGAAAGCTGGAGGCATTCATTTCAACACAAAAGAGCAGAGCAGGAGCGCTTTGCCATTTACACACGCCACTCACTACGCGAACACTCTGCACTGTCTGCTGGGGGCTGGCTGGCCCGGACCAACCTTAGCCCCTGCACTCTCCAACACCAGATGTAGGTCGCCGAGTGCTCCGGGGGCTGGGGGATCCTGCGTGTTTGTGTGTGTTTCAAGGCTGTAGTGTATTGTGCACACAAGCGCATGTGTGCATGCTCTTCCAAGAGGAGGGGGGGCAGAGTGATGATTGTAGTGGATGAGTTCATCATCAAGGACATGGCCCCCAGCGCACTGTCTCCATTGCTGTCACATTGTATCGTCACAAACAGGCCACATGAAGCCTGACAGCAAGGCAGACCACACCGAGGGCATACTCTTGTCGGTCCCTCACTGTGGCTCTCTCTATTGTTTTCCTTTTCTTACAATCTCCAAGTCTCATCCTGCATTACCAGCATAATAATTGCAATTAAAACATGATGGGATTGATTAGAGGGGGATTCAAAAGGTCTCCACCTGGTAGTCAAAGAAATAACAGTAAGCAGCACATTTATTTTCTTAATGTGGCAAAAACTGCTTAACCAGATGCTTTATGCTGCATTTAGAGATGAGTGCAATGAATGTGTTGGCTAAGGGATAGTACAGTCAACACTCTGTGTCACACAAAGGACCGGATTAAAATGCTGACCTTTGTATTAATCTTTCTAGCTGTGTGAACTTTATGTAGAGTCTAGTTTCTGAGGATTTCAAAGGGGATGTCAGTTCATCTCAATCTGACAGGCAGTCCTTCTGATGTGATGTGTTAATATCAGCACC